CCCCGCCCCGGCAGTCATGCTCACCCTTTTAGGGCTTTAGGGTGCCCGCTCGCCTCTCGCCTCGGCTTGTTTCTCGCGGTACGGCCCTTCGCTCCTCGCGCCGCGCCGCGCCTCCGCCGGACCAATCAACATTTTCTTCCTCCTTTCCTCCTCGGTCGTGCCGGGCCTACAGACGAGCGGGACAGGAGGAGGGAGGGTGATGGCCACCTGGTGCGGGGCGTCCCGGGGAAAAAGGAATAATTCCGATCGCCTACCCCGTCGTATTCACTCACGCCTCAGAGATGACAATAAAAAAACAAAACAACTTAAATGCATCATTCCCATTCATGTGCTTAAGCACCCGGACTCAGAGAGCAATCTTCTAGAAAATAGTAGCGGACAATAGAAGAAAAGCACAGCCGCACAGAATCATCTAACAGTTTGAAATAATACCGTACATCAATAGTTTACACAATTCCACCCACAACTAAAATATAATGCAAAATCAATTTTAATAGAACTTGTGATAATTACTTAAGTATGGGTTAAGGCAATAATGCCACATACATCACACCATTACAGCATATTTGAATACTTTGCTGAGTACACGGTGGTGTTCAGGTTGTTGTTAACCCGGCCCAAAATGAAAGTTCAAAGAGCTTGGTTTTTTTTAGCTTTAGAAAGTAATGAGTATTAATTTCTACATTTTATAGTAAGTCAAAATTATTGCTGAGGCAAAACCTATTTCGTATTCCCTTTGAGTTTATTGTGAACAAAACGGAGTCACAAAGATGTAGCATACTGCAGCAAGGAGTTTCCTGATCCACAATATAGAAATGTTGATGGTTTCTAAAATATCATAAGATTAGGAACAGGCTGATGTTGTTTAGATCTACACAGCTAATACTTGGATCTTAGAGTAGCTTCAATACCAATAAACAAGGAAAAGATAGGTTAGGAAGTACCATGATAAAGCCACTAGCGAATCCGATTATTCAGTACCTACGCAGGAGTTCAAGTAAAATAAATGCTATGAGCTTATTTCCGTAACTTCTAAACGTTTATTGCAAATCCCATAGCTGCGGTTGGGCCAAAGGCCTCGAGATCTAAGCCCAAAGGAAAATCCTCTGTGGCAGATCGAGAACAGACGCCCAAGGCGCGGGAATTCACGCGCTGCCCAGGAAAATTATTGGTGGCAACAAATACATACATTAAGGGTGGCCAGACCAACACTCCCACACGGTCTTATTTCCGGGCTTCTTTTACACTAGAACGGCTACATTTTTAGGTTATAATTATACTTACCGCCGCAGTCGGGTGCCTAGCGGGTGCAGGATACATCTTGAATGTCACAAATGGACTATATCATCAACTACACATGTTTCGCTATTCCGTCACAAGATAATTTTTCCTTCGTGCTCGCACACACACACAACAGACGATCTTTTCTCCTTATCCAAGTTGGGGACGCTTCATGGCACTGTCTTCATGGCCCTGGTATTTTCACAACACTGTTTCATGATTCACCACAACAATCATCACACGTCCAAGTCCGTACGCTTCCTCGCTCGCGGCCGACTCGTTCCAATCGTAAACCGTATCAGATTCGGATTTCACGAAAACGCCACCTTTCGGCACTAGCAGCAGCATCGGCGGCGGCAGCGCGAACCGTCCATTGTCCCGAAACACTCGGCGTCAGAAATGTGCTCGGTCTGACGCATTATGCCCCAGGGACAAATCAGAAATAGGTCGTCACTATTTTAAACCTGATCGCTTCCTTCCCCGAAATGCTGGTTCGTCCCTCTCGCCGTTTTACGAAAATGACAGATTCCCATCAAGTCAAGCAGCTCGCCACTCGGCTTGTGGTGGGGCAAGGTGTTGGCCGATCCACGAGTCGCCCGAGACCGAACGCACCGAACCGAGTGAGACCCGAAGTTGCGCCCCGGCCCCGAAAGCTCAGGTCGCGTGCCTGCCTGCAGGCGGCCTCTCGCGGCGCGAGCACGAACTACGTCGGCGCCGCGTTCGGCTCGCCGCCGAAGTGAGGGCCCGAAGTGCAGGCTCGAGCCGAGCAGCCGAGCTTGTGTCTCCGTGTTGTTGTCAGTACAATAATCGTTAGTTGTTCCGTCACAGCTGCTGAGAAGAGAGCTGTGCGGAGCTGAACTACGTTGTGTGATCCTCCGATGCTGTTAGTGTGACAATTATGCAAAAATGGATATCAAATTCGTCGTGTTTTACGCCGCGAGGGACGGCAATCTACGACGTCTGAAGGTGAGAGCAGTTTTCTCTCCTGATCCTGGAGCAGCAGGAAAGAAAGTAGGCTCTGGAAGGAGCGCCACCATTGTGTCTTTCCCCCAGTGAAGGTTAGCTGGAACTGTCTATTCAGGAAATGAAGTCCTTTTGGTATGGATTGGCCCAGGGCAACGTAGACACCTCTTGACAGCGTTTCCTGGCGAAAAAGCAGACTGTCGTCTGCTATGTTTGGGATATGGACATCCTTTATGCCCACCCTGGAATGTGATGCCCGTGTGAAGTAAGGTTAGCTAGTGGAAAGTTAGGATTGTTGTTTATGTGCAACTAGTTCTTGTAATTAGAGTGTCACCTCAACCTGTCTCATTGAAAAATTGTCACTGTTGTCTGTTTAAACTTTCGTGGAATGTCACATTTTGTCACTCAAGTAATCTTCAATTATGTGAAGGAGAAGCTTGATCCTATTTTCTTTTGTGATGATAGTGTGTGAGTGGAAGGTATATTATTGAGAGCATCAGTTGAAAGTCTTTGGAATGTATTATCTATTTATTTCAGGACATTGATAGCGTAACTATTGTGTTATTCACACTTGAATTAAAATTTCACCTGTTGATTTCTAAAATTTAAAGCCTGCTTTGAGGAGCTTGTCTAATCAAAACTATTTTTAGTGTATTTTTGACATATGCACCTCTTAAAACAGTTTCTGCAGTTTTTAATCTCAGAATGTGGCGTGACACTCACAGATTAGAGCATACAGTAAAACTACTAAATAGTCTATGTCGTATGCTGAAGACGGGGTTCAAAACAAGTGACCCACATTTTGCAATTCAAACATGACTTGGTGACTCATGGCTGAGTGTGACTTCTTGGTGGTACGCTTGCCATGCATTGTATTTGCTATCTGACATGCTTGTCATTTTTATGGTTGATTTCGTACCTCCTCCTTTTTGTTTTTTCTCATGTGTTGCCGACCAATTTGTGATGTTGTGCGTTGGTCGCCGGGGTAATTACCCTGAGCATGGGCAGCGAGCATGCTGCAGGCGTGGTGCCAGGGTGGGGCGGGGTGGGGCACGCAAAGGGTTGGGCGGCGGCGCGAGGCTGCGGGTCCAGTGTCCGTCCCGTCTCACCACCCATAAGGACGTGGAGTGCGAGAACTCGTCAAGGCCGGTCTTTGACCCCCTCCGCGCCGCGCGGCCAGGCCGCAGGCCAGCGGCGGCGCTGCTCGGGCTCTTGGCTCTGGAAGCGTCTCTCTGGCCCCTGGCTGGTCCCCCTCCGGCCCGGCCTATTGTGGCCGGGGTGGTTGTACCGTACCTGTCACGTTCCCGGAATGCACCTGACGGCCTCTCACCCGCCCTCACCCCGCCCCCG